GCCCCAGACGAACCTTCGACGCGGCGGCGGCGGCGACGACGAGGACGCTGCCCCGACATCCGCACCCACTTTCCTGTCCCGGCCACCCCGCCTCCACTGCACGGCGAAACCACCGTGGTACGTTCACCTCCCGCCGAATCCGTCGCCTCCACCTCACCGCGACGTCTGCTGGCGTCCCGCCGACACCACCGCCGCCGCACCGCATCCACCACCACTGTCGCTGCCATCGAAAACCGGTCGCCTTGGAAATTCGCGTGTTCCACGCGGTTTTTTTTTTCGCGCAGGTGATATTCGGCCGATCGGCCGAGCGTTGCGTAACGCGTCATCATATGTACGCTAATTTATTTCGAGCGCACATATGTGAATATATTACTGTTATTATTATTATTATTATTATTATTATTATTATTATTATTATTATTATTATTACTTTTATTATTACTATTATTATTACTATTCTATTATAAATACCTCATCGTGTGCCTCGTGTGCTTTCGTATGTACGAATAACAATAATATGTATTCGTTGTCGGATCGTTCCTATTGGTCGTCCGTCCGATTGCCGTTTGCGGATTATACGAATACATTAAAATAATATTCATACGCACACACGTATGTATATTTAAGTACATCCGCGTTTAGAAGACCGTCGTCGTAACTAACTCCTTTCACAACGATTGGTTTTTTTTTTTCGCAATTTTTTTTTTTGCCTCCAACATTCGGGATACTGTAAAATCGTTCGATGTGAACTCAACACGTTTCAGGTATTTTGTTTCGAAAGTCCTGCACGCGCGCGCATATCCATCGCTTCCCTCCCATGAAATCTGTTGCAGATCCGTAATCCATATTATTTCAAGCGCGTGTGTGTTTGTGCATGTATTATACATAGGTACAGGTTGATTCAATTATTCCGACTTCCGCGGCCAGCGCAGAGATCCGTTGGCTGGATCGCAGTGATTTTTCTTTTCGCTCCTAGACCCGTCAACGGTTAGCGTGTGATAATGCTTTTTAAAATTGCTGAGCGTAAATATAGTAAAATTAGGTTAAGAACACCGAAAAAATGCAAATCGTTTAAGGACTGAACCTTCCTGAACTTCCTTGAATGGTGAAATTAATTCCCACAAAAGCTGTTCGTACCTTCAAAAGTTTAATATTTTAAGAATAAAAGAATATTTCAGCAAATGTTATTATTATACTTTTTATAGTTTTTTTCATGTTTTTCAATAAAATTTATCTTCGCATTAATCGCATCCAGATCCATTACATGTTTTTCTCAAATAATTTTATTCTTAGACGATACTTTAATTAATTTCACATGTTTTGTGATTAATTTTTCTTCCAAAATAATGTACACTTATCTCGGTATTTCCTATTGTCTTTATAAGCCTACTGTTTTACGGCTATAGAGAAACACATTTTCGTTTTATTTTACTTTTAAAATAATTTTTCATTTTTATACGGATAAACAAGGTCTTTGGTTCTAATTGGTTAAAAATGGTAGTCCATCGTGTTTGTAATGACTGCTTATAAATTGCATATAATATATTCAAGCTAGATACGTGCTATACGTTCTAAAAGAATTTTATGATTTTTAATCTACAATTTTGCAACTTGAAGGTCATTTATCATTAAAAAAAAAAGTAATAATTTTAATACAAGAAAAAAATAAATTTTTTTTTAAATATATTCACACAGCGAATTATTTTTGAATTAATTTGATTCAACAAAATATTATAAAGTACACTTTTTAATTACATTTACAGTAATAATAGTGTTCTTATAAAATAATTGTTAGACAGAAATTTTAAATTTTAAAAAAAATCTATAAAAATTGTTAGAAAATTAAAACCAAAAAATTTCTTAATTTTTTTTAATTAGTAAAAACTAAATAAACTGAATCATAAAAAATTATATGTATAGAAGTATTTAAGCAAATACTTATACGACCATGATTATGCATAAAAGTGCAGCTATAATAATTAATATTTTGATTAACACATTTTTCGGATTAAATATAGTTTTAGAATTATTTCTTATAATAAAATGTTGAACACGTTAAAAGTACATAAATGTCTGTAGGGTTTTTGTGATCATGTGTTACAAATAATAAAATGTAATTCTATTAATTTTCAATAATATTTTCACGAAAAAATGTTTAATTCCATTGATATTTGCGTAGTCCACAAGATATAATACCTATCAAGGCCGCAGCCTAAGAGTGTTTTAATGAACACCAACCCTTCTCCCCCATCCGAAATTTTTCTTAAATAGAACTTAATAATTTTAAATTCTATGATATTTGAAATTTTAAAATTGGTTAGCTTAAAAACATATTTATAACTCAGACCTCCCCCTCAAATATTTTTCTGGCTATGGCCTTGATACCTATTTACCATGTCATTTACATTTGCCGTGTATATGATAAACTTATAATATTATACATATATTCATCCACATCGTGATGCATATAATTTAATACCTAGGTATATAGATTATATGATAAAAACGAACTCTATACATTTCAATTTCAATCAATCTCGTCACACGAGAAAGAAAATTCTACTTTAAAATATAAATCAACGATTTGTGTGTTTTTTGATTTTTATAATATTTGTGTCAAAAAAGTAATATTCTAAATCCATCAATACATACCTGAATGGATATCTGTATAATGCTTTTCTCAATTGTTTTTTTGAAAAGTTAAACTAACATAACATACGAAATTTTAACCAATATAAATTGAATTTTTGCTTGGGAAATACAATGTATTTAAATTAAGACCTGATATGTTAAGGGAGTGTTAATCTCACGTCTTGTTTTTCTTACCTCAGTTTTCCACTAAATCAATGTTCTGTTATAAAATATAATTATATATTTTTAAAAGCAACAATAAATAAACACACTGATGTCAATTTATTTCTTACGCTGTTTTTAAAGTCAACAATGGTTTTGTTCTATGTTCTGTTGAATAATGGTAATATTTTGCTTAGAATTTTTAATAAATCAAATATCAATGTAAAAAAATGAATTAAAATTATTAAAATGTTATCGAACTCTAATCTAATTTAAAAAAAAAACTCAAATAATTCAATAATCATATTATAAATATTTTAAATTAAAATAAATATTCAATTAAAATATTGACAAAACATTAAAAAAAAAATAAATAAAAAAATAACCTAACCAAAATTTTTTATTTTGAAAAATTATAAAAATAAATACATTTAATTTCCATCTGTATTTTGGTAACATATTACAAAATTTAGACGCTAGGGTATGTGATTTAAAAATTTAACGTTTAAACGCCAAAAAATAAAACTATTCTCATATTACATTCAAAACTAAAAAAAAAATTTCTACTAAAGGACCAAAAATTTCATAAACTATTGTTTTAGTGAATATTTTTAAACTATAAAAAAATAAAATAAAATGATTGTTTTATGTTTTTTTGGAATCCTATAACTGTCGTTTTAAAGTATCTGTTCTATCGTATCACAATGTCACAACACTTCGCATGGTAAAACATTTAAACTCATTTATTGGAGAAATTGAAGATCGTATGTTATGCTGAAAAAAGCTAATGGCCTTATAGACTAATGAATGTTTTTTAATGTGCTCTTACATAAAATATGTGGATGCTACGTATACGTTTTGTGTAATCGCCAAACTATTACACGACTTTGAAAAAAATACTTCCAACTTTATAATTACAGCCACCGTTATACTATGCGAAAACAAACTTTTCGCAATCGTATAGGTATACGATATACTCGTATGTGTAGAACATAATATTGAAACGTTATATCGTACAAACATACACACATACACCTATATACATGCAAGAGAGTGCACGCTGGGTGAAAATAATAATATTTGGATGGAAACATGCGTGAGCTATTATCTATGCTACCTGACACTACGTGTCTATCCGGAGATGACGGTTAAAATACGTCGTGGTCATAGTAATAAAAAATATATACATCTTTTAGATTTATTCCTATAAATGTAGACATACTATTTGAATAATAATGGCCACAAAGATTTGGAAAGCTGATAACGATGATGGTCATTCACGTCCGTCGTTTAATAATAATAACATTATTGTTACCACACGTCTCCACGAAGCTAGTGCCTAGTACCTATCGTGTAAGTAATGAACTCCGTTTTGTTTATGTGACTTACCCATTGTCATAAATTACAAATTTAAAACTAGGTAAGTGTAACTGATTAGGCACAGCTTAAAGACGGAAGCAATTAAATTTTGAATGAACTTCATTAAAAAGTAAAAAAAGGCAAAATAAAATGACACAAAAAAACGTAACTATACATGCGAAAAATATGCATTAAAGAAAGATTTTTGTTAAGGTTGATCAAGACTATGATAACGGGGTGGAGGATGACCATTTCTAAAACTCAATTGATTCACATTTAAGACAACACGTTATCCTTTTAATTGATTTTAAATATATTTTTAAAAGTAGCTGATACGTTTAAAATATTCACAAAGCTCAGAATGTCAATGCTTTATACATTTTTTTTTTTTTAGGCATATTTCTTCCCCCTCTAAATCAGCCTTTGGCTCGATATCGCAGCGGAACGGTTTACAGACGAAGCAAGTAGCTTTTGATGTGTTTAATCGGTAATTACCAATCGTTTAGCTAAAATCGATTTGACATATCGGCAGTAAAATAGTTTGTTAACAGAAGTCGAGTAACGGTGACCTCGGCTTCCTGTTGAAGCGTGCATCATCCTCGCGGTCGATAAGTTAACTCGTCCGTGTAACAGTTTAGAAGACGGAAAAGAGATTTCG